ACTGAGCACTTTAACCACTGAGCCACCAGGGTTCCTCATTATAATGACAGTGATCTTAATTGCCTACAATGTACCTAGTATGTGATCTCATTTGATCTACACAATAACTGTGATATAATTACTATCAGCTTCATTTCATTTATAAGTAAAATGACAATGAAATAAATGTTAAATTGTATCCTTAGGGTTTTTTTGTTGGCATTTTTTAATTGTAATGTTCCTTTAAGGCTTTAAATGAATTATGAAAAGTGAATTACCTACTAAAATGATATAAAAAGAAACTTAGGTAGCTGGACTCCAGCAAAAGTTTCTGATACATTGAACATTTTGCAGAAATTAATAAAACTTTAGTAAACCAATATAAAATATTAAGTGAAACCTCTGCCATATGAGAATTTATTTTTCCTGGAAATGTCTTTGGCACTGTATTTGTTTACTTAACATAAATCACCCTCTTCTAATGAGCAAAGTAGGTAGTATCTCTGTCTGCTACACAAGAGTTTAAAGGCCCCCTATAGTTACTGGGGCATATGATTTCACAATTTTTTCTAAGTACATCCATTAGGACAGCTTAGAAATATGTATAATTCTTATTTTACTTGTAACATTTTCCTTCTATTCTTATTCCCAAAGAAAATATTTTATATAACAAATGTTCAGCTGAAAGGAAGTATCGCTCCTACATTGCTTCACAATCATCAGCCATTTGTTGATAAACATCTACCAAAATGATAACGCCCCTCCCCATTTACATCAATTACCTTCCCTTGTACACATGAAGTGAAGTAAATGAAACAGCATGCCTTAATCTAAGCAGAAGACTGTCTTAAACATGTGTACCTACCACAGGAACTATCTGAAATAGGTGATTACTGTTACAGTGATCCAGTAAACGCTGTCTGGTAAAATTTGATTCTTGACACAATGGACACTTAAAGGTGGGATGCCCAGAACTATAAAGCAATTTTAAATGAAGAATATTTAATTCAAAATCATAACATAAAAATCATGTGCTCCTATTTTTTGACCAATTATAAGATTCTTTTTTTACAAGTTATAATTAACTATTCAAATATTCTCTCATTCTGAAGTAACTGTTTACAATAAATAATCTAGAACAGAGGTTTCCAAAGGTTCTCAGTTGACAGCGCCTATCCTGGTAAAAAAGTTTTCATGATGCCTCTAGGACACACACACACACACACACACACACAATTTCATTTATTAAGCAGCTACTGCTAAACAATTTAATTACAGTAGTTTGTGCGGTGCCAAAAGATATCATCACATGTTCCTCAAAAATTCAAAACATCCCGTGGCACCTCAGTTTGGAAACCTCATATCTAAGAATTTAAAACATTTAAAAGATTTCCATCAATGTCTTATCTTTAATATATCCCAGTCCCTAGGAATTTAACATACAAAATTGCTAGGAAAAGTTAGGAACGAAAAAGCACTGACGACCAGAATGAAACACTTCAAAACAATCTGAGGATCAGGCACCACTGGGTTTAACACCTTTGAATGGCAGCAAGGGACAGTTCAATACTGACAACTCGACCTGAATCATACATGGAAGAAACCTGACCACAGTGAAAGTAGAGAGCTAAGCTCTTCTGATTTAATACGGGAGCACTGAACGCAGCAACTGTGCATTTTATTTCTAAACTGCTAACTTCTAACACTATGTCTGGTGATTTAACTGAATAAAAAAGCTTAACTTAAGAATTCATTATTTGATAAAGTGATAGATGTTATTTACTGAAGTAGAATCTTTCAAAAGCTTACCTTGTGTTCTCTTGGTAAGTTTCTGTGTTATCGGATGTGGATGTCTCACTCCTATTACTTAAGAAGCGTGCGGGAGGGGAGTTAATGCCACAAATAATAAAGAACATTAAAGATTCATTCATCTGAACTGCTAAAGAAGACTCATATGAATTTGTTTTAAAAGTATGAACTTCATATAGTGTTGAACTTTGAAACCATTATGGCATGAATTACTTTTTCAAGTAAATTAAGGTAAGACAGCTTAACAGGCCCTTAGTAATGTCCTTTAAAATTAGTTTATGCACAATTACAAAAGTATAGAGAATACAGAATTTTGCAGAAATATCTTAAATCCATAGTACGAATAACCTCCCCGGTCCTCTAGACTTTTATATTAAGATATTCCTCTATCTAGAATAGTAAGTTTTTGAAAGTTGAAAGAGAATTAGGAATATTCATGAACTTTTGACTCTTAACTAGGGTGTGACTTAAGATTGCAGACTCCAAAGTGGAGTAGATTTAAGAAAATATTTGAACTTTCATTGTTTATATATTTTACCCTCCAAAAGGAAAGAAACTAGACTTTACTAACATTTAATATACAGAACACCATGACATCCTCACTCAGTTCCTATGCCACAGTCACATGCCATGTGGAATATCAGAGGAATCCTGAGGAAAGAGTATACATTCCACCCATACAGGGATTGTCACCTATGTACTAGAAAATTTTATCAACGTGGTCAATTTTATAAAATGAGGCCTTTCAATAGAAGAATATTTAAAATAGCAATGAAGTAGGTAGTGGCCTAAAAAAAACTGTTTGTACCACACAGAAGTTTGCTGGTTATCTCAATACTACAGTAAGTAAAAGTGTTTAAAAAACTCGTTATTCATTTTTCTCCCAGTCGTACAAGGTGCTAATATTATCATCACCACCACTACTCCCCCCACTCCTTTTTTTTAAACAGATGAGAAAACTGAGGCACAGTTTCTTACCGAAAGTCATACAACAGTAAGTGGCAGAGCTAGGATCTGAACCCAGGGGGTCTGGCTCCAAGCCGTCGTTTTAAACACTAAATTATACTGCTTCTCAAGGATGACAATGATATGGTGCAAGAAATTCATCATGGCTATGGCATATGGGTGGCATAGTGGTTAAGAACTTGGCTGCTAACCAAAAGGTCAGCAGTTCAAATCCAGCTGCTCCTTGGAAACCTACGGGGCAGGTCTAATCTGTTCTACAGGGTCACTATGAGTTGGAATCGACTCGACAGCAATGGGAGAGTATATTGGGCAATGCTGGGTAGTCAGAAAAAAGAAAGGCTTAAAACAGAGCCAAGGACCAGATTAGAAAGGAATTTTGTCTTATCTGACAGTTGTTGGATGTGAGATCATGAAACCCTTTGAGAATCTTGACACCTTTTTTCCAGAAAAATACACCATACACAAAATTCGGCAGTTTTAGGGAGTTCACAGAGCCCTTAGCTGGCCCATGGAACTCAAGATGAGAAACAATGCTATAGGGCAGTGACAGAGTACAGGGAAGTCACTGACAGAGCACAGGGAGAAAGAGATCAGAACTGCACTTCGGAAACATCACTTTGGCAAAATAGGACAGACCAGAGGAGGACAAGGATATAGAGGAGGACAACCAAAAAAAGACTACTGCAATAATTCAAGTAAGAGATGATGAGGGCTTGAACTGAGGAAATGACAACAGGGGTAGGAAAAAAGCACATGTGAGAAATAATAGTAAATACAGTAAATATGACCAACAGGATCGTGGGAGTAAGGGAAAAAGGTATATCCTGAGAAGAAAAGTTATTTGGTAATTTAACAAGCAGTGACTGCACAAGTCATACATATAGAACTACGAACTGTGCTAACAAGCTAGAGATACAATGCTAAACAAGACAAAGACCAACCCCACACTTAAAAAGTTAATCTAGTGGGTCCAAAAACAAATAAACAGGTAATCACTATATAGCAGAAGTACAATAATAAGTAAAGTACAGGGGGTGAAGGAACCCAAGAGGATTAAAGAATCCTAAGACGGGAGTGATCAATTTAATCCAATGACACTAAGAAGCTAAATAAAATAACCTAAAAGAATTTTGTGGACTAGGCAATCAGAAAATTACTAAAGATCTTTACCAGAAGAGTTTCAACGGAGGGATAGGAAAGCAGCCTGACTGCAGTTATGCTGAATGTAGACTGCGTAGGGGTGGATAAACTACTGAAAATTAGCAACATGTGTTGTGAAATGAAACACTACTAAAATAAAATCTGACAGACTCTGCTTAACATAGTCTCCTGGGAGCCCTTCTATAATAGTAGCAACAATGGCTTTCTTACACAGTAATATGTGTGCTTGCTATTGAGTTTTTCAAAATTAAATAATGCACTGTTTAGGGATACATGCATGGGCAGTGATACTATAAAGAAAAGCAAAGGAATGAATGAACCAAAAAAGAGGACAGTGGTTACCTCTGGGAGTGTGGGGGTGGGGTTTCAAATGGGCAGGGGCTCACAGGAGATTCTATTTCCTGACCTAGGTTATTGAATAACTGGGTATTTGTTTTATCACTATATTTTAAACCATACAGGTGCATTACGGCCATTTTTCTGTGTAAAACATTTCATAAAAAATTACATAAACATATAAATCAAGTCAAAACTTAGTTTAAAAAAAAAAAAAAACCAAAATAGAACTAAGAATTTAATGGTACTAAGTCATACTTTTACATTATTATCAGAATAAATAAATTTGACCTAAAAATTTCAAATAACAGCCTATTCTTCAAATAGCAAAGAAAAAGAGATTCTAGTTTGCAAATATATTACTGAAAGGGGTTTTCTCCAGTTTTCAAATAGCTGTAGTTGTAAAATCAATAAGAGAGAATAATCTTCACGTCTCCCAAGTCTACTGTTTTATTCACAGAATGTAGATACTTAGAATGATTTTAAACAGTATACATTGTGGTTTGGATACTTGACAGTTTACTTAAAACACCTTCAGGCATAACAAAAAATACTCTATCATAGTTCCCTAAACAATTTCCATTTCAATTATAAAAATTCTCTTTTTAGTAATAAACATTGCTTACCTGTTCCCGACTGAATCTTGAGAGATCTGAAAGTTTGGAATGATAGAAGAAACACCATATTCATCCTGATACTTCTTACAAGATTTGTAATGATGTCTCATGCGATAGAACTTAATCTGTAAATCATTGATTAAAAGGTAATGTGATTTTTAACTTGGAAAAGAATTCACAAGATTTGAGATATTGTCATTAAGAGGAAAAATAAAAATTACTAAATATTTCATTTAAACAAATTTGCTTGTTTTTTTAAGTAAATGATGTAATCTTTACGTAGTAGCTGAAAGTAAGTAATACATTTCCATCTGTCAGATGCAGAGACAATGGAGAATAGTCCATCTGTCCAGACTCACCACAAAAAAATATTTAAAAATTTTATACCTGAACTTTGAATGGCTAACACTAATAACAGATCTAAATAAACAAATAAAAATATAAGAGGTTGCCTCGTACTACCAAGCATTTCTTTATTCTTTATTGCAACATGGCATAGTTATAAAGAGCTTAAAAAATTACGTTCCCAGGTAAACACTTGGCACATTTTTCAGTTTCTCACTGAGGAGCAGAGCCAGAGTTTCTCGAGTGTGTTTTCCAGCTTCACTCCATTGCCCTGTCAGTTAAATACCTCCTTCGAAGAGATGGAAAAGCAGATCTGACCTGGGTGAATGCATGAAATAGCAACTAGTTTTGCTCAGCGACTCTATTAGCTGTTAGAAACAATGTCTGCGATAAATCCATAGACACAGGGATATATTCAAAGCCTAACCACCCTTCACCATTTTACTCCTTCTCCAAATGCTGGAACTATAAAATCCAGACTGAAGAATTAATGCCATTTTTTTTGCCAACACCTAGTTTTCCTACTTGTTCCTTAAAAACTAAGCAAAGTTTTCTACCAAATATCTTGTAATTTCTTAAATAAATAAATACATAAATAAAATAGGCAGCTAAAAAGTTCCTTAACCACACAAATATATTTGGCCGAACTATTAACATTTATGTACAAAGTGGAATACTGATGTTACTCTTAGAAATTAAGGGTTGAGTTTGTATCAGAATGGGGTTTAAATGAGTTAAATGCTAGCTTGCTTATTTAATTCATATAATCAATGAGCAATTACTCTGAGAAAAATACCATGTCAAAAATTATGGTGAATTCAGACTGTGTCAGGTTCTGTTCTCAATAAATTAATAATCTAGTGAGGTCTACAGTCACAGCTTTTTTGGCCTTTTCTACCCAATTTCCAACCTAAATAACTTCTTTCTCTTCAAAACAGCACCGACCCCAAAAACACACGCAGGAATTTCAGAGAAGAAACTTGACTTTCAAAGAGGAGCTATAGCACATTTACTTTACCTGTTTTGCACAGCATCTGCAGCTACCAGAAAACTTCCTCATGATATTTTCAAGGTCTAAAGCCCGTTCAGGACATGCTCTCTCTCTTCTAGTCACATTTCCACGACAGAGGGGACAATGTATTCCACCTTCTCTCATTGCAGTCAGGAAACATTTTCTACAGAAACTAAACCAAACATTTGTGACATGTTAACTGGAAAAAAAAATTACTCTTTTCATTTCTATGATTAAAATCAAACAAGTGGGAGAGGGAAAGACCTGGGCTAGGGAGGAGAGGCAGGACAACCCTCCTTCCCCTCGGGTCACGCTCAACAGAAGCAGCGCCCGCTGTGGAGAATCAGAGATGGGGACTTCCCTGGACATCAAGATTAAAAAAGCAAACAAGGTTTATCATGCTGGGCTAAGTGAGGTGGGTGGGTCTGCAGGTTCTGTCACCTCCAACGCCCCCACGCACTTCTGGGTGTCCCTGGGTGGGGCAGGCAAGCTTCCTGCCAGGTGCATCCCCATGTGCACTGTCCACTGCCCAGCAAGGGGCCCTTGTAGAGGCGCCACCACATCTGTGGGGCATGCAGGGGCGAGCAAGCCGGCGCCCTAATGGTCTGGCCCCTTGAACATCCTACTAGGCCTTGGATGGCAGCCTTGTTATACAGGGAAGAGCCCTGAGGGAGGGAGGAGCTAGATGAACAAACGCCCGCACTCCGTGAACAAACAAATGGCAAAATTAACCTTAAAAGCAAAAATTTGCACATCAGGTCATGGTCAGCTCTAACATCATATACAAGTTACTCATTTTCCTGGTTTTACTCACTGAACTGATATATTAAAATGCAAGTCTAAAAAATAAAATCTTAACTTTGCCATTAAAAAAAGTGATTATGGATATTTATTCATGCCAAATAAATTAGGTTATTCATATATACATATATCTCAGAATTTTAAAACTGTACATGTGTTTCTGAGAGTATAAGACTGATAAATGGACTAGGTGGAAATATAAAAGAAATTATATTTGAGTCTGCTTTACAACGTTTTAACAGTATATAAAAAATAAATATTAGTATTATACAACATTATCAGAAGACGCATGGTACAAAATAAGAAATGGATCTCATCCTGGTGCTGCCATTTAGTAGCTGTGTGACTTTATGCAACACATTTAACCACAATGAATCTCCATTTCTTCCCTTTATAAAATGAGAATGGCCCATATCAGCTTTTGTCTCAAACTGCTGTATTTCAAGATGTTGTTCCACAAGATATGAATAGGTCTACTATAAAACAGTATACATATTGGTTTGGAAAATTATAGGGTAAAAAACAAAGTTAAATAGGTTTCTCTATAATTTACAATATTTACTGCTGTGCTAAAGAAAACATAAGTTTTGTCCAAATTTATTTGTTCAGAAAACATGAAAATTTCCCGCAACACTGTGCAATGGAATATAATTTGAGAAATATTTAGGAACCCTTCCAGCTCTAAACATCTATAACCAAGATTCTAATTGAATCCAAACTAACGTATTTATTTTTTTATCCCCTAATCTTATCAAACGATCATTTTCTTTTAGGTGAACCAGATAAATCACAAACATTTATATGTGGAATCTAGAGCAAGTACATATTTAATTCAATCCCCTATAAATGCAAATATATTGAATATGCCTCATGTATACTAACAAAATGGAGCCCTGGCAGCTCAGTAGTTAAGAGATCGGCTGCTAAACAAAAGGCTGGCAGTTCAAATCCACCAGCCGCTCCCTGGAAACCCTATGGTTCCACTCTATCCTACAGGGTTGCTGTGAGTCAGAATCAACTAGAAGGCAATGGGTTTGATTTTATGGGTTTATACTAACAAAAGTTGAGAGGTAATAAAGTGTAATACAGATCACAGAATCTGGGTTTCCTAACTATGTGGCATCAACCAAGCTACTTTTCCTCTCTAAAATCAGTTTCCTTGCTCATAAAATAACAAAAGTACATCTATACTTCACAGCATTGTTCAGAGGACAAACATAGATAATGCATGTAAAATGCTTATCACCGTATTTGTCACAGTCAGGTAAATTCTCAATAAATAGTAGCTAATATTACTAATGTAGCATTAGAAGTGATTACCAATTAAGATAATCAATTAAAACTTTAAAAAAATTACCATAACCAGTAATAAAAAAAGCAAAATAAACAAAACCAAGTTAACACTACTTTTCACTCACCAGACTGGAAACTAGTTTAAAATAAAAATAACCAGTGTTAAAGAGGATATAAAGAAAGGAATGCTCTATACTTCTAAAAAGAAATTTGTCAATACTTATCAAAACCTTTAAATACAGAGTATCCCAAAAGTCTCTGTGCAGTTCTGAATTTCAATAACCTCAGAAGTACAAATACTACAAACTTACAGAAAGCATCATTTGAAAGTTTCTTTAAATTTCTTTTGCACTTAGTTTTGTAAATTTTGAATACTAAAGTTTTAATTTAAATTCTTTGTTTCAGCCAGTGTTTGCATTCTTCAATCAGAGAGACTGTAAAAGTGAAAGAAGGGAGAAGTTGAAGACCAAAGAAAAAAGAATTGAACAATAGTCTAGAACATGGTAAAGTCTGCACTAAGGCAGGGGTAGGAAGGAGGGATAAGATCTCCATTTCAGGGATACAGTTCTCACTTTGTCACTGTGTAAGGTGGAGGCTTCCTGTGTTAAAATATAAAATCAACAGAATTTTTTGATAATTAGTTGTGGGCAAATGAGAAAGGCAGGCATTTATAACTTACAACACCTGAGTAAAAAGTGACTTTATCAACCGAGTTAATAAATATTGGAAGATGGTTTGACAGAGGAAAAATAAGCGCAAGCTCAAAGTACCTACAAAAATCTCAATGCATGATATGCAGTAACAAAAGGAAATATGGTCTGGAAATTAGGGCAAAAATATGGAGAGCAGATAAGGTGAGAAGAGCACCAAAGAAACAATCTAGAAAAACAAATATTTAAAGGAGTGTTTGGAGAAGGAAGGGTCACAGAAAAAGAACAACCAGGATTAAATAATGTTATAGAAGCCAAGTCTACTTAGCAGCCAAAGGAAGATATTTAAAAAGATGAGGGTAAAACTATCACCAAATTATCAAGGTAAACTCTCCTCTTTGAATAAAGAACTAAAACTGTCAAAAAATCCATACCAGCCAAAAAAAAAAAAAAAGAGAGAGAGAGAACTATGCATAAAAATGATGGTGCGTGAGTGAGAAAAATGAAATAGAACAGTTTCACTATTAGTGGGTAAATTAGCTAGTATGCTGGCTAATTTAATAATTATAAATAAAATATAAACATAGAACATTAAAAGATCTTAAATAACTAAGATGTACTATCAAGTTATATTTAGAAGGAAGGAGTAAAATAAAGAAAAAGTTCGAAGTTCATTTACAAAACAATGAAAACTAATTGTAAACTATGATAACAACACGCACTCACCAGTATGACTAAAATGAAAACAGTTAAAAATACTAAGTGTTGGGGAGGATGTGAAACAACCTAAATATGTATTTGGAGTTATCCATTTGGAAAACTGGTTGGTAGTATTTACTTAAGGTTAACATATGCAAACACTATGGTCCAGTAATTCCACTCCTAGGTATATATGCAACAGAATTGCATATATGACCACAAGGAATTTCCTAGAAAATTCACAGCCACATTATTTATAACAGTCAAAAACTGAAAACTACACAAATGTCCACCAACAGAAGAATGAATAAACAAATTGTGACAATTTACATAATGAAAACTATAGTACACCGTAATGAGGATGAAAAAGCACAGCTACACGCAACAATATGGATGAATGCAATGTAATGTTCAGCTAAACAGCCAGACATAAAAAGTACATACTGCATGATTCTATTTTTATAAAATACAAAAAGCAGGTAAAACTAATTGATGCGTGTTAAAAGTCAGGACAGTGGTATCCTGGAGAAAGGGATGTAATCCGTGGATCAGGGAGCATTAGCAGGTCTTCTAGGGTGCTGATAATGTTCTGTGGTTTCATACGGGTGCTGAATAACAAAGATCTGTTCAGTTTGGGAAAATACATTGAGCTGGATATTTATGATGTGGCCCTTTTCTATATATGTATGTTATCCTTAAATTTAAAAAAAAAATTAATTAGGAGTAAAAACAAGGGTAGTTATGTTAAAATTAATACAGAAAGAGCTAAATTAAGATTATCTTCCAACTTATCTTAAAGTAACAACAACAACAAATGCTAAAATTAGGAGATGGGTGGGAGATAATGGATTAAAAAAAAAAAAAAAGGGAAATTTCACCAGAGCTGTAGTCCAGGTGGTCGAATAGCCAACCAACAGAAGACAGAAAAAGAAAACAGAAAATTATACTGAAAGTGTGTGTGAGAGGAATTTTGAGAATTAAAAAACGTCTGCAGAATAAGATGACTGAATAACCAGTAGAAAGAATTAAAAAAAAAAAATACAGACCCCACCCAGATGTATCACTGGAAATTCTCAGAAAAAAAATTGTTTTTAAACTCTAATAGCTTCCAGAAAGGGAGTAAAAAACATATATGTATCACTTACAAAGAGAACCACATTAGCATCAAACTCATCAGCAATAACAGATGACAAATTAATAGAAGGATGTGTTGAAAATTCTGAAGGAAAGTGATTTACAAACTAGAATTTCATCTTTCGTATACTAAATCATTTGCTTTTTGTACTTAAGGCATTTCTGATATAATATATGCAATACCGAAAAACCTTGCTAACAAATGTTGGCGAGGATGTGAGGAAACTAGAAACATTATCCATTACTGACGAGAATGCAAAATGGTGCAGCCGTTATGGAAAACAGTGACAGTTCTTCAAAAAACTAAAAATAGAAACTACCATATGACCAAATTTCACTCCTAAGTATATACCCAGAAGATGTGAAAGCACAGACTCAGACATGTGTACACCAATGTTCACTGTAACACTATTCACAAGAGCCAAAAGGTAGAAATAACCTAAATGCCCATCAACAGATGAAGGGATAAACAAAATGTGGTACATACATACAATGGAATACTACTCAGCCAGGAAGAGAAATGAAGTCTTCATACATGCTACAATATGGATGGAGCTTAAAGACATTATGCTGAGTCGAGTAAGTCAATCATAAA